CCCTCAGAACTGGGCCACACGACCAACGTGACATAACTGGAAACCCCGAGCACATATATCACAGAATGCGGCGGTGTACAACACACACACATTATTGCACGTTTTATTGCGCCCGTCCTATTCCCTAGGTTTTTTCCTTCATATAAACTGAAAGGGCATGATTGTGAGTCATTAAAACCTGAATGTTTTTACACTACTGATATATGTGGGAAGTAGTCAGATTTTGAAATAGAAAATCGTGTAAGAGGACAGCTGCTCAAAGCTGATGTTTCTGATGACGTGGAATTGAGTTGTAAAATAATACTACTAGATTTCGCAGAACACAATCGAGAACACTATTTCCAATAAGGCCTTATAGCAAGGACTTACCAGTAGATCAATGAGCATAAAGGATAGTAACTTCAAAGAGGTACAAAAGTTTGAAGGAGCGTGTCATATCGCATCACATCAATAGTTTCTATGCGTTCGAGAGAAAAACTCAGGTTCCCATCGTGGGGCGACTGATACGCCGAAGGTCAATGAAAACTGCCATGAGATTAGGCAAGCTTTGTCTTGAAGCCCCAATCTGTTGGTTTACAATATTGGTAGGACAAATGTGAATTGAGCTCATCTAAGTTTTATTTCATCGCAGTTCGATATTTATTTTAAATTAGTTGAAAACAAATGGAATTTCCCCAATAAAGTGTGGATTCAGTCTTGCAAGTATTTCAGGAATAAAAACGGGAACAAACCGACGAGAATACATTTTTCGCGAATGAAATAACTTTCTTTTGCACGGTTCGAGTGCAGACAGGTACACAACGCGTACGCACTTCTGGCGAGTCCCAACCAGGACGAAACAGCTGTCCAGTGCTCTTTTTCGTTATCGCAAACGTTTCCATCGCATGTAAAAGCTGAGTAAGCTACTTTAATGTGAGAATTAAATGAGCTTTTCGTTGCACTGGTGCGTTCACATTCGGAAAGACAAGTGTAAAATTAGAGGACTAACTCTCGTTTTTATTGGTTTCTTTTGATCAAAGTGACTGTAAACAACCGAAAATCCCCCTCACACATATACGCACGTCATAGTGCTGGGTACCTTCTCCTTACCGTTCGGTCACGGTGAACTTTGGCACAGTTTAGCGCCCAATGAGAATGCACAATTGAATTAGCTGATGTTCTAAGAGGAAAATACTAGCTTTTATGCAGTTTTCTACTGCGTAAGGATAGGTCGGTCTCACAGAACGATCTATCCGGGATCTTGGGAATGTAGAACAGTGTGACATCCACAGTACTATTCGGTTTGTTTCTACCAGAAGGCAACTTGGGCCTATGCAAATGTAGTCGGTACCGATGGGCAGATTCGTTAACCGTCACGAGGCTTTCTATGGGCATTTTGGCTTTACATTGCAGAGAAATCGCTCAACAAGGGAAAATCCGCCCCACGTTCTCGGGTATCGTCTCGAATCGCTGTACGCCTACAAATTTAGCCACTTTTCTGACCGTTGTCTCGTCCACGACCTACAGATGTTTCCGCGAGTGAACAGCACCGCAGAGTAGTCTACCGGGTCCGGGGGAAGTAAACTGGTTAAGTTATGCACATGTAACTATTTACTTTTTACTTCATTAATTAGAGTTAGGAATTTCATTTCATGTGGCTATGTGGTTTTCCTTGTGAGGTATTTAACAGATACAGATCAGCATCCATTATCTTGTATTGATTTTACTCTTGCCAGTTGCCAGTTGCAAGAGTAATAAAAAGTATTTCAAGACGACGATCGCGCAAAAAGCAAAACAACGATGATTCAGCGCCCTACGTTTATTCGATCTGACAGATACGCTACTTGAATGCGTCAAGTCTTACCACGGTACACATGACTCGATCAAAGCCTTCAATGTAACGTGGACCAACTAGACCGCTGACGGCAGACCAGTCAGTTTCAGGGTGCTGGAGTTCAGTATTCCGCATTGGCTTTGATTATGGAGCACGGCTAAAGAGTAGATCACACTGGTCGGAGCTGGACTTCTGTGATGTAATCTTTCAAGAGACCTTCAGTCCCGTGGTTGTTTTCAGGCTAGAGGATATCAGAAAGACCGGAGCACCTCAAACAGTGTATCGGACTATGCTTAAAAGTGTACTCGGTAACTCGTCAAGCACGATCAACCGGATGAGCGGTGGACTCATTCGTCTATGCAGATTATCAAAACCAATTACGGCTGACTAGCCATTCACATATCCCACGTTGTGATTTTCGCTCCTGATTGTTTTCTGACCGTTCCCGTGGTTCAGTTTCACGATTCATCGGGGCATATTTATCTGACCACAATTTGGCTGTGGAATTTTGTTCTCCCTCGAGGGATTCATTGTTTACCTCCGGCTACATTGTTTCTATCGTAATTGGTCATGGATACGCACTGTGTTCGTGACTATAGAGAGTATGGATTGCCAAAGGCAACTCAACCAACAGTGTGACTCTGGTCGCGAAAGGGGGTAGAAGAATAAATTTCAGACAGTTCGATGCAGTAGCTATCATTTTTCTTTTTTTCACATTTTTACAATTCGAATCATGACCATGCATGATAGTCGTGTCTCTGTGTGTGTGCGTGCGTACGTGTACATGTCTTATTGTGCGCACCTACACACGCACATACACAGGTACTCACGAAAGAGAGCATATCCTGTAATCGTTTGACGTGTAAAATGGCGCTTTCGTCTGACGAAAGTGGGCAAATGTGTGTGATAGGGGATAGAAAAGATAAAAAGATGTGTGTGTGTGTGTGTGTGTATGGGATTTGGGGGTGGGGTGGGGTGGGGAGAGGGGCATCGAAAATCAGGGGATATGTTCACACATTCGTGGTGGGAGTTACAAGCACACAGGCACGCACACTCAACCAAAAAGATATTGTATATAAACACGGAGAAACACAACCGTAAAACTTCAGGCGCAAGGAATTGACGAGCTACAGAAATAAACGAAATGCGTGCCACTCAAGATAAAATAGCATCTCCCAACTTCGATAGCCTGCCTTCAATCACTTATACGTGGCAAGGTAGTGCTGGTGGTGGTAGTGGTAGTGGTAGTAGTAGTAGTAGTAGTGGTAGTAGTAGTAGTAGTAATAGTAGTGGTAATAGTAATGTAAGCAGTAATAGTAATGGTAGGAGTGTTGGCAACAGTAATATAACCATATAAGTAGTCAACACAAGAATAAAACAGCTGTTGTTCGAATCGAAAT